CTAACACACTCCTTTATCTCTTCCCCGTGATCACAAGTTCTCTCTCCAAGCCCAGCCTAGTTATTTGTGCATGAAGCTGCCATGTCGTGTATTGGTGTGAGTCTGGTGTTCACATGAGCTGTGAATATGCCACACGTGTATTTCTTGTGCATCCTGAGCTTTCCTTTGGTCAAGTTAACTGTCGTTCTGCCTTCTAATGAATCACCAAGAGAGAACTAGACCTGGTAAGATTTCCTGTTAGCAACAACTATGTCGGTATCAATGTGATGCTGAATGAGTTTACAATGTGACTTCATGTCCAAGCCTCCAGACTAGAAAGGATTGGGACTCTGAAGTTCTTCTTCAATTAGGTGTAAAGAGAGTAAGTTGTGCAATGGTGCACACAAACTCTGCTGCCCCGGTGTACAGGGCAGCTCCCACACCACTCCAGCAGAGCTTCAGAAACTACAGTCTCTTGATTGTCGCTTTGCAGAACCTCCCTTCTTGGGCAAGGATACACCTTCAAAAAGCTGGGTGAACGCCAGGAGAAAGCAAGCAAGGCTATTCAAGCACCAGCTAATCTGTAGCCACCTAGTCTTAAAAGGACTGTAATCTCCTGAGGCATCACTGAGTGGTTTTGGCTGACTAGTTTAATGCCAGCAAGTTGCAGATTTGCATCAGGGAGGAATCTTGTATTCTGTCTGCTGCTTAGACTTTGCTGCCTCCTCTCAGCAAGGAAAGACACAGAAGTGCTAAAACCTCTGTCCAGACCCAGGCCCCAACATGCTGCCATTCAAAGGGCAAAGCTGACAAGAGCAGCAGCAGGTAGAATATGAAAATTTTTTTTTTTTTTTTCCTAGTCACAACCACAGCAGTACTGCTGTCCACACAACTTCTGAATTTGGGCCTGAAGTCTCTTTTAGGTGGTACTGAAGTTTAGCTTCTTAGAGAAAGTGGAAGGGAAGCCATAGGACTTCTGTAGGCCTGGGAGAGGTGTGTGACCTTATAATTATATAAGGACCTTATAGCCCTCTGGGACTGTAGTGCTGAGAGTATTGAATGCCATGATTTTTGATTTCTTGGAGGCCACATTCCCTCCTTCACCTCAGAGCAGTTCCTACCAATTCACTGAAGCCCCCAAGTCAGAAAAGTGCCACCAATCAGCTGTGGCCCCTGCGTGCCCCAGGGCTGCACAGAGCTGAGCACTGATCTGCTTGTCCCAGGTTGGGAACAGGAGCACAAACAGCACACAGGTACACACCCTCATCTGGACATCTAATCCCAGAAACCTACAGCTGGGGACTTCCTGTGCCTTGGGATTTTTCAGACAGGCAAGCAGCCGCTGTTTTTGCTGCCTGGTGATGGGAAATCCAAAGGGTCTGTTCTCTCTTGGTTTACACAGTGGTGAGTAGTTAACAGCGGGGGTGATCTGCACTGTTTCTTCCTCCTAAATGTTGCTCTTTCGGTGGCATTTAGACTCAAACTGCGGTCTTTGCAGCCTGGGTGGGGACAGAGAGGGGGTTTCCATGAGCTTCTTTGCTCCATGGAAGGTCAAGTGGCAGGGTGACAGTGTTATCTCCTCCTGTGACGAGATGGAGGTCACATTCCCACAGTGCTGCTTGTGGAAACCACCATCTCCACAGGCTTCACACAGTATGTTAGGGGGTTAATGAACTGGTGAACATGGCATTTTCAGTGCCTCATCTGCCCTAGCCAGCAGGTCCTCTGCCAAGGCCCAGGTGAGGCTGCCGCCGCAGCAGTGCTCAGACCGATGCTGCCTTCACACATGTGAAAGCTGAGGAACGTCAGAGCTGGTTACAGGCCCAGGGGAAAACGCTTAGGGACAAAGCAGATGCTGTGAGAAAAAAAAACAGGGCAGATGAAAGACTATTTTAAAATACTGCACAGTTGAACAGTAGCAGTGAAGCCAAAATAAAATGTTTTATAAAAAAACAAGTCAGTGCGCAGACTGTGGGAAATACAAAGGGGTCATGAGAAATGTGAAAGGCCCGAGCACAGAGCAGCAGGAGCAAGCAACCCAGGCTCAGGGCCACAGCAGGGCAGGGACAGCGGGGCTGCCTGCGATGCCAGTGACGCCAGCAGCTGGGCAGGAGCAGTGAACCCCGGAGCAGACCCAGGGCCTGCTATGCTTTCCCAGCAGAGCAAGTGGCACGTGGCTGATGCCCGACACCAGATTCACCAGAACTGCTGGCTGAGGCACTTGCTGGAGTAAAGCATCCAAGACAGGTCAAAAGAGAAAGTAGCTTTCTCCTCTAGTACAATTTCAAAGGAGAACTGCATCTTTCCAATGCGAGGAGAAGATATAACAGAGGGGTTTATAGTATAACATAACCCTAATCCCCAAAAGTCCAGGCAACCTGAAAGGAGAGGCTGATGGCCTCCAGAGCCCCTGTAGAGTGGCCTCACCACCATGAGAGAGAGGGCAGGCTCATCCCTGGGGTGCTGGAGCAAGTGCAAGTCCAGGGAGCGGTACCAGGACAAGGAACAGTGCAGTGAGCTCTCGGCATAGCATCCTCTGTGGCCCAGGGCCCCCGTTCCTCCCGTGCTGTTGTAACTCCTGCCTCTGTGCCAATGGCTTCCAGAACGCAGAGGAAAACTCTCGCATCTCAATCACCTTCTTCCGACTCTTCCGCGTGATGCGTCTCGTGAAGCTCCTGAGCCGAGGGGAGGGCATCCGGACACTGCTTTGGACCTTCATCAAGTCCTTCCAGGTATTCCTTCACTTATCTCTAAGTAAGACCTAACTCCTTTTTATTTCACAGTGGTGGCCTCTTGGGGAGGGGTTTCTCCCAAGTGCCTGAGCACAAAGGCTGCTGGTCAGAGCTATGGCCACCAGTGACTCACAGCACGTATGAGAGCCAAGTAAATGGGGCTTGCAGGGGAAGACTGACTGGGTATGAGTTTTACCTTTAAAGTATGAGTGATTGCTTGAGACCTTCCTGATAGTTTGATAATTCAGTTTAACTCAGTTACCACCTGTCTGTAACCCTTTAGTCTCCTTAGGGGGCTTTGGTTGGTTTGTGGTTTTTTTTCCCCATTTCGTTGCTGTTGTTTTCTATTTTAGCTGTATTTATAGCTGTTGCTTTAAGTGAAATACACAGCTATGGGGAAGGCCTTAGGTTTCCCTTAAGCCTTGTTTTGAGGATTTCCAGGAAGTATTAGAAGTGTGTGGCTCCCATGCTTTCATCCAGGAAGAATTTCACCTTTTTGGCCCATGCCTCTGGCCCTAATAACGATGCCAAGTTATTAAATTGCTGCTGCTTTTGCACTGGAGACAAGTTGCAATAGTAGGTAAAGTACCAGATTAGGTAGGAGAAGGCAAAGGAGATCAGACAGGATAAGGATCATCACCTCTGGGGGAAAACAAACACTAGAAGATAGTTATTAGAAAAACTGCTTCCAAATCAGCCCCTAGTGTAGCCATGTATAGAAAGAGAGAGACAAAGCATAGCATCTTTTGGCATTTTACAAGTTCTTGACCTGGATTTACTGGGCCAGCACAACTTCAGTGTTAGCTGGGGCAGGCATGGAGGAAGCATCAAGGAAAGACAGCACAGGAATACAAATTGTGGTCTAAATATGAGAAGTATTCGGGACACCACTGGACAAAAGCATGAAAGAGTACCTTGTGCAAGACAAGTCTATATCCCACATATTGAGTCTTTAAATGTATTTGTATTGACTCAAATGGGAAAATAGCTGATGCATGCTTTAAAAGCTAAAACTCACCAGCTACAACACAAGCTGGGACCAAAGCCTGCAGTGCTGTGGTTCACCACAACTTCTGTCTCTGTCAGCAGAAGAAGCACATGTGTACACCAGAGATCAATCTGGACCTTTTCCAGTGCAGCTCTCAGGTGGTCTCAGTAGCCAGACTACCAGGCTTGTGCACACTCCTTGACTTCCAGAGAACCTGATACCCACACATCTCTGCCACAAGCAACTTTTTCCATTGCTTACATGGTTGCTAACTTCCAGGTTGTTATTTGAGTGGCTCCAGTGGGAACCATTTTATCTGCATGCATAGGAATGAGATTCCCTCTGGTACCGCTCAGCCATTCCTGATGCAGGGGACAGAGTCACACTTTCCAGTCCAGATTCTCCTCCACTTGCTCTTGTGCCCCTTGAGTCTCTTTAACAATAGCTAGCTCATACGCTGAACTCAGCTTGCCATGGCCCTTGTCTGGAGAGGATGAGATGGGTGGGAAAGGGAGTGCCTGGTATTTTCCTCCAGTGACCTTCAGACCTCTTTTATTGGCGAGTCGATTTAGGCAGGGTTGTAGGGTGATGGGAGAAAGTCCCAAGGGAGGTATCTTCCACAGTGGGGGCAGGGGGAAGCACTGCAAGCCTTCTCCCTTGAAAGCCTTTAGCCATTTATAACATGGTATTCTCTGCTCAGAGCTCCTCCTCTTGCAGCTACTGGGAGGCTCCTTTGGTAGCTAAGAATAGCCACTGTTCAGAATTCCCAGCCACTCCCACTGCCAAAATTTGGGATCCCTGCAGACTCTGTCTGGCATGAGCTTTTCTCTGTGTCCCCACTTGCTTCCAGGAAGCATCTCTCTTCACACAGGGCAGCCTAATAGGCAGCCAACTAGTGCTGGAGTTCAGACCCCATCGTAACTAGCACATGCCCTGTGCATGGCACACAGTGCTTACATACGGGCTGGGGCACCGGTCAGAGGAGTGCTTGGTGGGAACATGCTCGGTGGGGTTTCCGCCTCCAGAGATAGCAACGGAGCCCAGACTGGTGAGTGGGAGGAGTAGGAAATGAGAGGGGTGCTGAGGGCAAGGCAAGGCCGTGGGAATCACAAGAACAAAGTGCTAAAGCCATGGAAGGACAGAGACAAAGGAGGACAGAGACAGAAGAGTGGAATGTGGGAGGTGGGGAGCTGAAGGAGCCTTGGGGAATAAAGGGTAGAGACAAGTAGGAAGGTGCATCAGTGGAGAGGAGTGGGCTAAGCAGAATAACATGGAAATAAAGTGGAGAGCCAGACAGCCAGTAGATAAGACACTTTTCCCAGCCCTGTTTGAAAGACAGAAGAACTGGTAAAGTTATGCACTTTGGTTCCTCTCTGGACACTATCCCAGAAGCTCTTCTTAGGTGTTATGTGTATCAAGTCCCAAATAGATCATCACAAAATGTTTGGACCAAATTTTTCAGCTGGTGTATGTCCACTAATGTTGTGGGGTAACCATACACATTTGTCTGACCCCATAAAAAACAGAGGAATCTGCCCCTGAGCCCCAAGATGATGACTACAGGCGTTGTTTAAAGCTTTGAATTCTTGCCATTTTAATATTCAGACCTCTTTGAGATTATTTCTGCAGGTCCTAGTCAAATCTCCATAGTGGTCAGTCAAAATTTTTCCTCTGTTCTTCCTAGAGGATTTAGCCCCGTTGAATTTAGACATAAAATTAAAATGTGTAAATAATCTTACATTAAAAAAAAAAAAAAAAAAAAAAAAGTTGTAGGCTTTTATACTCAACGAAATGGGGTGTTCAAAATCCAGAGCAGGGTCTGTACTTGTATTTTCACAACTAATGTATCCACCCATTGCCTCTGAAGTAAGGTCTGGAAATCTCTGTTCTAAGCTCTATATATTTCAAAAACAACAGAGTAGAAAATTCCTCCTCAGAATCCTGAACCTGTGAGGTCCCGAGCTGTGTCCTTGATGTCTGCTAGTGGCAGAGGAAACCGATAGCACTCAACACTTCGCTGATTGCAGTGGTCTCTTCCTTACCAGGCAGCCCTGCATATCAGGGCTCTGCATTTCCTCTTCAGCAGCTGATCACAGGCACCTAGTGCACTGCAGACACCATCAGAGACACCGAACAAGGAACAAAGCTGAGCCTGCTTTAGATGGTGCCAGCCATTGTAGCAGACGCCTTGAATCTGGATCTGTTGTCATCTTTATTTCACCAGAGTGTATCCAGATTAACTTCAGACAGCAAAGAAAAGTGAAGGAAAAAAAAAAAAAAAAAAAAAAAAAGTCACATTGCCATTAGTGCCCGACTAATACTGGTTAGGAGAGTTTTCTGCTCTCGGTAAGCAGCTGTAGGCGCTGGCTTTGCCATCGCTTTCCTCACTCCATCAAGGGCAGGGCTGACTTGAAGGCAGCAAAGCTGCACCTTCACGAGTGGGCGCAATCAGAGCCTGCCCCGGTTGGGTGGCCGCAGGCTGGTGGTGGGGAAGCCAAGCAAATGTGGGCCTGGAGAGGCATCTAGTGGCCACCCGGCCGAATTACCGACTCAGCGTATGGTGCCAGCCTCTGCCCAGTTTCCCAAAGCCAGGAGCGTGAACCAGGCTCCAGTGTGCCAGGCTCGGTGGAGACACAGTGCTCTCTCTCTCTTTATTTTTTTTCTTCATTTCTAGGCTCTCCCCTATGTGGCTCTTCTAATAGTGATGTTGTTCTTCATCTACGCTGTGATCGGGATGCAGGTGAGTGACGCTGAAGAGCTCAACTGTGTCTGCCTTATCCTGTTGAGAGGTTTGGGAACTTACTGATAAAGTAACGAGATCAATATGTTGTTGTAGGGGCTTACAAGAATGTTTTTTCCCGTTGAGGTAAGATAGCAGCTAACCTTGGTTGGAAAACACTGTCTGCCTTGTACACTTCCAACAGGAGCACAACACACTCCAGGAAAAGAAAAGACAAAAAAAACCAACCCATTTCAGGGCAGAATGCGATATGCAAACAATAAAAGGACCATGCCTGCCCTTCATATTCTCAAAGCAATACCCAGCAGCGGTGGCAAAGGAGATTTACTGCCTTGCTTGTTGGTTCAGTATAGTTGTTTCAGTGGGCTTACAAACCCACTTTTCCTCTCGCATCACTTTCACGCTGGCGTAACTTCCACTGAGTTGTAAAGAGCAGCTTTTAATTTACACCGATGAAGGTAAATATGGGATCAGACCCAACGTAACGATGTTCTGTGTTTGTGCCAGTTCTTCAGGAAGCTGCATCAATACAATATCCTATTCAGCCTGCAAAATGAACTTGGAACCAGCCTGAGCATTCATCTGTGCTAGGAACTGATGCTGCATACAGACCGTTGAAGAATGCATGTGATAATAGGCAGAGTTTGTGACAGTCCCAGCCTTGTTTGCTGTGCTGCTTTTCAAACTAAGCTTCACTTTCCACTTTGGTGTTAATCAAATATCTCAGACAAGTCAGCCATCTGTGGCCAGGGACCAAAGCATAGAAAGGCATGGCATAATTGCTTCCAGAGGTCTTCAAACATGACAGGCCTCCTGGTTTCACAATGCCCACAGAATTCATAACAAAATTCATCTGACCTCCATGACCTTGTTTTCATTTGTTTCCTGTTACTATAATAACATCTTTTCACAGGCTTCTGACCCAGTTTGAAAAATAAAACTAATCTTTCCTTGAATTATCACAGATTATCTCAATTGCCCCCAGTAATTAGAGTTGCCATTTCATCTACTAGGCTCATACTGTCAACATGACAGTTTTGCCTTTAATACCCAACTAGCTGAAATGGCCAGTATCTTACAGGATTACCAGTGCTATACAGAAAATTACTTGAGAGTATTACACTAGTGTTATGTAGCTACACAAAGCATTAAAAATGCCTTCCCAAGCACCCATGCAGATGGGGTCTACAATGATTGGGGCACTGCCAGGGCTAGATGTTTTATTCTGTGATTCTATTCCCTTTTCTGTTAGCTAGTTCTAAGTTGGCTATTTAAGCCTTGGCTTATGTTCAAGCCTCTATTTAAATCATCTCAGCAGCCTCAAGATTATGCATCTGTCTTTCACATTGTTCTAGATTATTAGATTGCTTCCTGCTGTCCTGCCTTCCAATGAGAAAACCAACTTTTCTCATCTTCCCTCTTTGCTTAGAGCCCACAGATCTGTTAACATCACTTTTTGTCCAAATGGCATCTCATACATTTTATGTGCTGCTCTCTTGAACCTGCTGACACACACAGATTTCCCTCACACAGAGGGACACGCAGGAACGAAAATCCTTCCTCACTTCATTAAGCAGCTACCTTCGAAGACTAGATGTACCAGATCTGATGAAAACATAAGAATTTCCCACAAAAAGGAGACCTACCACTTTATCTCAGCTACTGCTTTGACTTGGAGTGTAGCAACACTCAAGCCTCACTAGGTAACGTGCTCAAGTGGAAAAATCCCAATTGATGCTGATGGATGAAGTTACTCATGCCATGGCCCAAGAGGCACAGACTGGAGAGGCCATGAGAGAGGAACCTCTACCTGCAGTTCCTCATAGGTGCCTAATGCAAGGCATCCGTAGCAGCTGCCACCAGTTCCTCATGTGTGAGGGAAGCTGCAGGGCTGAAAGGGAGTTCAGGCTTCCAGCATGGGAAGTTCCCTTGCCTGCACTTGCCTGAAATGAAGAATATGGGCTTCCTCAGCTCAAACTGCATATTTAAACTGTCCTCCTGCTGCTCCTCAGTGTAGTTGGGGCTGTCATTGCCCCCTGCAGCATGGGAGCGGTCGGGGCTGGGGGAGGCCCACTCATCCACGAGGAATCCCTGCAGAACACCTGCCATGTACAGACCCTCCCTCCCACCTGGCATGGCCTTCCCACCATTGTCCCTGCGCATCTCTCCGTGTCAGTGTTTCTCTTGGGGGGTTAATTATCAGTGACATTTACTTGAAAAGGAGCTTCGTGTTCTCTCAGAACTGCTCTGTTCCTGCTGCTCATTTTGGCTATGAGATTACAGCTCTCAGTGCCTGAAATCTCTGTCACACTGCTGTCAATGGGGAATAAATAGTCCGGACCAACTATGCTGTGCAGAGAGCTTTCTGCCACATGAGATCTGTTAAGTTCTCAGTCCTGGTGCCCAAAAGTACCAAAGCTATGTAAGACTTAAAGCCTGACGACCAAAGCCTGAAATTTTCCTGCACTGGGGACTTCACATCCAAGCGTAAGCCCCTAAAAAGTTTCCTGATGGTTGCAGGCTTTGTGCTGTGGCTATATGAGCTAGCTGGTGCAGTGACGGCGGGACGTGGAAGGAAGCTGTAAGCCATCTTTGGGCAAATCTAGTCATCATCTTCACATTGCTGTATTCTAGGGGAGGGGGGGAGCTGAAACACCTCCTGGTGACAAGAATGACTACTAAAAAGGCAAGCTGTTGGATAATTTTTGTAAAGCAACCTACTTTGCATTGTTTGGGGAAGATCCAAGGCACTCCACAGAGCTGGAAGCTAAAGGCTTTGCAGCTGCTGGTCTCTTACTGTCATTTCCTCCTGGTGAAGACAGACACAATGAAGGAAGGAGCCTTTTCTTCTGTGTTAACTGATTTCTTTCAGCTGGACCACCTCTCCATATGAGTGCCTGTTAAAATAAGGCCTCATATCACATATTTATAGTGTATGAAATAAGCAGGGAGGGATGTCTTGTTTTAACAAAAGATGCCTCTTGTTACAAAATGAGTGTTTTTCGGGTGTTGAAGCACAAGCAAGGGAAGAAACAGCAAATAGGAAAGAACTGTGGAAATTCTTTTTTTTAAGAGAAGAGCAGATTCTGTTAAATATCAGAGTCAGGGTGGGGCCAAGAGCCAAAGGTGACAAGAGGTTTGGGGATTTTGCAGGGCTAACCTGAAAAGACCTCTGCTTTCTGCCAGGTGTTTGGTAAAATTGCTCTGAATGATACCACAGAAATCAACCGCAACAACAACTTCCAGACCTTCCCCCAGGCAGTGCTGCTGCTTTTCAGGTGGGTGTCTGACAGCTCTGGATTGTGTCAGTCTGGGAGCACGATTCCTCTACTCTTGGGTACAGCTTATCTGCTTCTCCTGTGTCATGCTCACGAGGTGAGTAGAAACATGTTGTCCCTTAGCGGGGGAGCCTTGGAGTTACGTCAGATGAAACGGCCGGTCCGTTAAGCCTTGCACCCTGTCAGCTGACACTGGCCAACACTCCCTGCTGGGGAGGGAAAAAAATCCTCCTACTCAGAAGGAAGGTAGCCAATTTTCAGTGCTCTCAAATGTTGATCTGCATCACAAATTCCTCCTTTCGTTCCACTCTAGCTAGTATGACTCCAGCTTATTTTAGCAGGGAAAGGGACATGAACTCCCACTTATGCTTTGGCGTGAGCATGCAGCTTAGCACATCATCCTGCTTCAGCTGTGGCCAGGTGTGCCAGGGCAGGGGAGGGGTGCCAAAGCAGTGGGGAGCTGGCATGAATTCAATGCTGTCTCCTCGTTTTCAAGTAGTTTTTTCATGCAATCTATAGCCATGTCATACACAATTCATTGACTCTGGCTGGTTTGAGTATGAGAGCCCCGTACCCAGACTAGCCCAAGCAAGTCAGGAACACCCTGATGATGGCAACAAAGCCAAAAAGAGGAGCAGGGTATGCCAGCGTATGCCAAAGCCTGGCCATCAGCCTAACTTGCTCTTAGTTGACCACAGTGGCAAAATTCCCATTGATGTTCACGGGAGCAGGAACACATTGCTAATGTGCAATCCCTGTCACATTGAAGGTCATTGCTGTCTTCCCTTGCCCTTTGCCATGCCCAGGTGTGCCACTGGTGAGGCCTGGCAGGAAATCATGCTGGCATGTCTCCCAGACAAGAAGTGCGACCCAGAGTCGGAGCCGGCCAACTCCACCGAAGTCGATCACTCCTGTGGCAGCAGCTTTGCCGTCTTCTATTTCATCAGCTTTTACATGCTCTGTGCCTTCCTGGTGAGTCTGCCCCAGCAACTGAAACCTGCCCTTTGTCAAACTGAGCCCCTGCCTCCCCAAACATCAGCACTACACAGCAGAAGAGTGATCTGAAAGAGGGGAAATCTCCCCAGAGGTCCTTCCCCAGCAGCACCCTTGGTCACTGCCATTCCTGCCTCCCTCCAGTTCTAGGAGATGCTTTGCTTCCAACCCCAATCCTTTATGCACAGCAAGGGAGTGCTCTTCCCCCCCCCCTTCCCCCTCAATGACAAAACCAAATTAGCATGTTGTGGGCTGTGCTGAGGCTAGCAACGCCTCAGCCACACTTCCCACCTTGCCTCCTACCTTCCTTCTGACTGCTGAGCAGGTTTTTACTCCCCTGCCAGCAGCAATGACTGTGAGAATACACATATCCCACTTGCATCTGCTCCATGCTGGCAATGCGGCATTGCTCAGAGCAACAGCACATGCTCTGCAGCTGGCATCAGTGCACAAAACTCTCCCAGTGAACACCAGCAATATTTTAACAGTTTTGGTCTTGGGCCAAAAGAAAGGACTTTTAGCTCAGCCCCACTGAGACAATATATCCCAGCTTCTCCCACCTCTACCCTGTTCTGCTGGGCAAAGACACAGGTAAATAAAAAGACACCACGGAATGTCAAAGAGCTCAGCAAACTTGGGCCTCATCCATTTAGTAGGGAAGAGAAAAACGTGATCAGATTAGAAATATCCTGCCTCTGGGATCTTCCCACTTAAACTGGGAGGCTGGAATGGAGGAAAAGAGAACCCACTTCCAGTAGCTTCCTAGTTTTATTGGTCCAAATCCAGACCTTAAATGGAAAACCTGGTAAAGTCTCCTGTTACCTGCCTCATCCATCAAGTCATCTCTGTCCTTGTTTGCAGATCATCAATCTTTTTGTAGCTGTTATAATGGATAACTTTGATTACCTGACACGGGACTGGTCCATTTTAGGACCACACCACCTGGATGAGTTTAAAAGGATCTGGGCAGAGTATGACCCTGAAGCCAAGTAAGTAACCCAGCCTGGATATCAGAGCTCCTCGGGAGAGCAGGCCTGCTATTTTCTGTTCTCTAGATCCAGTGCAGTAAGTGCCATGTTCCTCCTGCAGGAACACTTTTTCATCTGCAAAAATCCTAAAACAGATACATCCACAAGGTATTGTGGAAGAACCCATTAGCCAGCAGTGCAAGGATACACAGAAAAAAAACAGCATTTAGGCTGCACTGTTACGTGGCAGGACACTGTTTCACTTTCAGTCAGGGGAGGAGAAAAGCTGTTTAGGGAGGGGCAGCAGGAGGTTGAGCAGAGGAGGTTAGATGGCTGTTTTATTGGGGTGTGTGTTTGCGATATTGAGCTGTGAGTCTTTTGTTTGAGTTTCTACTCACAGTAGGGCTGCCAAGGTCAAATCTCTGTTTTGTCTTATGTCACATAAGCCCATCACAACCTGTACCTTCATGTGGCTGCATTACGTTGTCTGCAGGGTTATTCACATCAGCAGACTTTCAGGGATTTAAAGTTACACAAGAACAACACACACGGGGGCTTAACTGACATTTAGTATTATATGCTCTGTTTGACACATGTTTAGGCTTAAAGTGCTTTTAGATCCCTGTGGCACTGCAGCACAGTTGACAATTGTAATTGCAAAGCCCCCTTCATAATGCAAAAACTGTGGAAAGAGATCTTGGCATAAACCAAAAGCAGATCTCTTTAGGAGACACAGTGTCAGGATTAATTTGGTCTGAGGTCCTGCAGTACGTGAAGCCATGTCACATTATCCGAGTGATACGTAAATTAAATTTAAACCTCTCTTCCCATCCACAGTGACTTCCCTGAGAGACTTTTACCATGGATAGGGCATAAGCACAGCATTCTAATAAATATACTGTTTGTTAACAAAACAGATGCTACTATTTGTGCTTATTTGAAGGTAAGACTGCAGTAATTGAAGCCATATAGTAGCTAGCTGCTCAGTCCAGATGACATCCTGTTCCTTCCCATCGATAAATGTGATTCTTTTTCTCATTTCCCATCCGTGTCCCATACTTGAAGCCCCACCTCTGGCAGCTCTCCTCCCTCCAAGAGAGAACTCCTCTTTGCAGATGCCATTTACAGAACTTAAAAGAAACCCAGCTGCTGCTGTGGAGGTAGTTCAAGCACTTTGTTTTGCACTGGCTCCAGTGACGGCCCAAAGCATAAGCATATATCAAAAGACAGTGGATTGGGGCTATTTATATGGGAGGTAAAGTGCCAGGAAAAAAGAGATCCTTCGCAACTCTGTGCCTGCCATAGCCCTTAGACCAAAAAGTAAATAAGCAGACGTAGATTTTGAGCAGGTCAGTGGCAGGGGGACAACCCCAAACTGACTGTTGATGCCCTAAGAAACTGCAGCATTCAAAACAATGAGGTCGATTCTTACAAGTATTGACTCATGTACGACTGACAATGGGTTTTCTGCACTAGTAGGAGGCATATTAGTCATGGGCAAATCCTGAGGAAAGCACCAAATGCAACAGGCCTGAAGTAATTCCTTAAGTTGTGGCCGGGCTACAGGGAGCAGAAGCGTGAGTCTGGAAAGGTGTCAGTGGTTCTTCCAGCTGCGCTCATGCTCCGCAGGTGGACCAGCAGGTCGCCCCATGATAAGGACACAGCCCTCACTGCTCTTTCTTCTTCAGGGGACGGATCAAACACCTGGACGTGGTGACCCTGCTCCGGCGGATTCAGCCCCCGCTGGGCTTTGGGAAGCTCTGCCCTCACCGGGTGGCTTGCAAAGTAAGGCACGGTGCGGTTCACAGAAAGCAGGGAGGCACAGCAGATAATTGGCCAGTGGTGGCATTTTCTCTCCAACCCAGGGTACCTGCTGGTTCGCTGCCAGCCAGTGGATTGTTCTGTCCAACCACGGCGGAGCAGGCAGCAACCTGTGTCTGAACTGGCCCTTCTGCATGGCAACAGCCTCACCAGGGCTGGACGGGCACCAGCAGTTGGGTTGTCCTCTAGTTGGAGACACCAGTACACCACCAGCCCTCTCTCTAGGTGGGAGAGTGCATCTGTGCCAATGACTGCGCTCAAATAGCGAGCGCTGTGTCAACCACACGTGTGTCTGTGGTATCAAACACTCATCCCGAGACAGACAGGGACAGGCAGAAATAACAGGGCAAGTCAAAATATCTCTGAGATTTGCTTTGGACTAAGCAGTGCCCGAAACCCCCGGTGTTATCTCTCATTCTTCCTTAATTAACTGACAGAACGGTAAGGTGAGCGTGGGATTAAAACACACAAAGGGCAAAGGCAGATTTTCTGTGCAAATGTCGAGCTCGTTTCTTTGATTGTGAGACTCCAGCTATGAAAAAGAACGCTCTCTAGTGAATAATGACATGTTTATAACCTTTATGCTCCCTTCAGTTGAAGTTCTTTGTTCATCTCCTCCCAAGTCCCAGAGTTTGTGTGACACTTGCAGGTTTTTTTTCTGTGAGTCTCAGAGCAAAATACAAAGCCCGGGGCCCATTCACAGAAATATATGACTTCTGTGGCCTCCTGCTGATTCCCTTCAGCCTGCTGTCTAGCGATTGTTTGTTGTCCCGACCCCAGTGTATGATTGCAGTGGTAGTAATGGGGATTGGCTCCCTTTCCTCTAATGCGGTACTGAACCAGGCCCATTTCATGAAAGTGGCAGAAGACAGAGCTCAGACAAAACCAACCCCTGAAAGCCTAGAAGTTCAAAACAAGTCCCTGGTTCCTCTTGCCTCCTGAAGCAGAAGTAAGGATGTGAGATTTGGTGGCTCTGCTACATCTATCTCACATACATATTGTTGGTCTCACTGAAGTTCACCCTGCAGCTGCATCAGTACTCAGCACTCACTCTCTGTCCTACATGTCTTTACAGAATTACTGCAGGGCAGATACAACCTTGTTCTAAAAGTGAGAGGGGGAATAGCTGGATAAAGGAGAACAGCTTTCAAGTTTGGCTAATCCCCTTTCCTGAAGCCTGTCACCTAAAAGAAACATTCTGGCTCTCTGTTTATATGTATTTGCATCAAGCACAGCTTTAGTGCAGACAAATTTGCAAGTGCCTCACGGGCTATGAAGAAATAAGTTTACTCCTGATAAGAAAAAGGTGTCATTTAAAAGCCAAATGGTTTGGGGACTGGAACAAATCTCTGTCCATGTAACACACTGTGGGCAAACGCCCACTGGCTACTGAAGAAAACAAAGGTTAGAAAGTAATAACCACACTGAAGAAAACAGAGTATCTAGAAATGGGAGAGAGACCCCAGGGCAAACACAGAAAGGCTGGGACCATGGGTGGATATGAAAAGTACTTTTATAACTGTGTAACTACATTCACAGGCCATCTTATGGATGCTTACATAAGAGGAGTGGCAGGTCTGGAGGGCATCATGAGGGCATAAGGAAAAGCATGCTTCGGTCCATTTGTGGCAGTATGATTTTTCTCTTTCTTCTCCCTGCTCCACAGCGCCTTGTCTCCATGAATATGCCCCTGAACAGCGATGGGACTGTCATGTTCAATGCCACTCTCTTTGCCTTGGTCAGAACAGCACTGAGGATCAAGACAGAAGGTAAGAAGTTTGCTGACCACAAGGGTACAAAGATAGCTGGATGGTGGTCACACCAGAGTGGGCTGAGCTGGAATATAACAATAGGGACATCTTGTGTAAAATGATCCCGGCTACTCATACGCAGCACATGGTACAAAAAGTAATGTAAAAATGTTTGGAGGAATTGTATCTTCCAGGGACAAAACAGTGTTACTTGGAAAGTTGCTGCTTCCCATGGTATTATTGATCACATTCTTTACAATGGTCTCAAAGATAAAAGTTTTAGATCATTGTCTGCTCGAGTATCAATCGGGAGAAGCAAGAAGGGCAAAGAACCCTCCCTTCATGCAGACTAGCTGCAGAGCTGGGCCACTTTTTGGCTGCTCTTGCCACTGATCTTCCTATCCAAGGGAAGTAAAAGAGCTTGGATCAGAGGGTCTCACTGCATTAAATCTTCTGTGCTTCCATTAGCATGAGTTAACATCACATTATGGAGACAGTGGTGTTGTAGGCCAAAAGACAGATGAGAAGCAGAGACTAATAGCTTTGCAAAGAACAGGGGGTAAAGCTGGGAAAAACAGACAAGACTTCGGGCTCAGCTTGTCCCTTTTGCACTCTGTCACCTGCTGTAGTGAAAGATACTGATCCTGAGTCAAACTCTGGCTTCATATATTAATGGGATGCTTTAAAGGAGTGTGTAAGTCTGTAATTCATAGCTGAACACCTCTGCCTCAGGAGTGGCTGCATTACATTTCAGGCATGGGAAAGCAGAGACCAGCAGAACCCTAGCTAGGATCAGGAGGCTCTGGAGAGTGATCTGGACAGGTTGGATTGGTGGGCCAAGGTAAACTGTATGAGAGTTAACAAGGCCAACTGCTGGGTCCTGCACTTCGGTCACAACTCCAGGCAACACCGCAGGCTTGGGGAGGAGTGGCTGGAAAGTTGTCAGGCAGAAAAGGACCTGGGGTGCTGGTGGACGGTTGCCTGAACATGAGCCAGCAGTGTGCCCAGGTGGCCGAGAAGGCCAACAACATCCTGGCCTGTATCAAAAATAGTGTGGGCAGCAGGAGTAGGGAAGCGATTGTGGAACAGGCTGTGCAGGGAGGTGGTGGAGTCACCATCCCTAGAGGTGTTCAAAAAACTGGTAGACACAGTACTTCAGAGCATGGTTTAGCCATCATGGTAGTGTTGGGTTGACAGTCAGACTTGATGATCTTAGAGGTCTTTTCCACCCTTAATGATTCTATGATTGCTATGTCAGAATTATACTGAGAGCTGAGCCAAAAAAAGAAGCAGTAAAATTAAAGAATTACATTAATGCCTTGAATGTTGTGCTAAATAGAATTTGACTGTGGCCAAAGAGAATCTTCTAAGGAAAAAGCCAACCAAAGCCCCTGTAGGACATTCTGTGTCTTTGCCACAGTTTAGGGTCAGGACTGCCCCTAGACTTACAGTCTCTGTTAAACCCTCTCCATTCCCACAGGGGAAGAGAAAGGGAATAAGGGAGAGAGATTTATGGATTAGAAAAGTAAAACAGGTGGATTCTGGAACTGGATTCAGGAACACACAGATCAGGATAGAAGGCAGAACGGACCGAGTCTTCCTCAAGACACTGGCTGTTGAAGAAGAGAACTTGACCCTCACAATCCCCCAGCTTTATGCTGTATAACTTTATACATGTTATACAGAATGGACTCCCGGAAAGGACCCATTTCTTGTCCCTCTTAGCCTCAAAGTCTCAGAGTCATTGCCAGTGAACTCCTGGGAAACCACCTAAAGCCTCAAACTGCTTGCCTTCTTGCCAAAGCAGGATCTTACAAATTATTAGGCCAAGAGTTTGGAATTAGCCCTCCTGAGTCAGATTTCTGCATTCGATGCTGTCTACCTGTTTCATCCTCAGCAAGTTACTTGGTGTCCCTATTTGCACTGAATCCTATTAAGAGAGCTACTGCCGTGCAAAGCCCTAAACAGCAAACTGAGGAACCTTAATACTGGGGAGCAATAAGAAAAGCTGCAGGAGGAGCACCTTTAGTAGGACAAGATAGTGCTTTTGTACACCTAGAGAGAGAAGAGTGCTTCAATTATAAGAAGTTTGAATGTACATAAATAGAGAATTAAAACTGAAGATGAGTTGTTTGAGATGAAATGAGTATCTAGAAGGAAAGGATATAAACCAGATCAGTTTCATTCACTCTCAAAGGGGTAACGTGGCTTGATTCATGTCTCATTTAGCTCAGAGACTCTTGGCGGAACATGTACAGTCTAAGTTCAGACAGTTATATAAAAAGCTTGTTGTAGCCTATGCCGTTCTTCAGAGAATAAACACAAATATCCTGGGGTGGTCATCTGAGTCGAACAGTGGAAGCCTGTAGTGCCTTGTCAGAGCCCTGTGCAGACTCTCCAAGGCAGACTCTTGGCACCATGTGAAGAACATGACTATCTGCTGGGAAGCAGGGATTGCAACAGGTAATTCTCAGGAAGTGCTGCAAGTGACCCAGGTCTTTTTATTCCTTGGTGCATCTTTACCACCAATTATTTGTGTTCCCCAACATGTAGTTTCCCATTAACTGACCTCTATTCTCATCTTATTCAACCATCACTGGATCTCAATTAAAATTTGAAGTGTTAGATGAGATTGTTGCTTTTCGGGATGAAGTACCGTGATGGTTCTGTTTTTTTTCAGGCTGTTGCTGACTGTCAGTAACACAGTCACCTTCCTACCCTGAGATGACTGTGCATATTTAAGAAGAAGACCTCTTGCTGTGAGGGGGCTTTAGCAATGGTCAGAGCATCTCTTTGCCCAAAATTTTCCACTACTGAAAAAGCTCTGATGCTTTCCTCCTAAGATTGCCATGCCAGACATGAAATTGCTCCTCTGCAGGGTCTGCTTAATTCCTGTCTCTGATGTTTTTCACCCTGCAGGTAACCTGGAGCAAGCCAACGAAGAGCTGAGAGCAATAATTAAGAAAATCTGGAAGCGCACCAGCATGAAGCTGCTGGACCAGGTGGTGCCTCCAGCAGGTGGTGAGTGCAGGATCTTGTCCTGGTCTCTGAATCTTTCTTTTTCACCACCTGGCATGTCTTACTGCACCTCATGATCATCAGGTGAAATATGGGGGACAAAGGTTCTTCTGCAAACTATTACCTGTATTTTGTCAGGCTGAGATCTGTTTCTGCTTGTACTAACATGAATATCATGTTCTTACTGCTTAGAACTCAGGGAAGAAAGAAAAGGTGCAGAAATAGGAGTTAGAAAACTTTATCCCTAGATCTTGCCTCAGTCTGATCATAGGTATTTGCTCCTCTGGACATTACTGCCTGCTGGAGGCAAAGGAAGCAGGCAGAGCTAAGTAGCTCCAGGGAAGATGATGTGGACTTTATCTGACTGCATAATAGATATGGCCTTACACTCAAGTTGAGGATGCAGCCCCATCTCATAACTCGTTAATATTTAGCAAAGCAACCTTTGCTGTGGCTATAGCTCTTTTTCAGTCATGTAACTGCTTTCTACTATGGTACCTGTCAAATACTTATGTACCTGGAGACATTCCTCAGCCATTCTGAACTGGTGTAATAGATTGCTGTGGGATTCTATGCAGCATCCTTGGTAGGCTGTAATTACCAGGCTTCTGGATTACTCCTTCGCTAGGTTTCTTGAGACCCTGGGTGTACTGGAATCCAGTGTGGCCTTCACTGACCTTCCAGGTGGCTCCAGGGACTATAGTACAAAGCAGCACTTGGCAGTTGGTTAACCATTGCAGCCAGATCCTGAACCTTGCTCAGCCTGCTCTGAAATCAGTGGAACATGTCTTATAAAATTTCCAGTGACTTTGTAGAAGGGAGGAGAATTACCTGATAAAATCTTAGTACACATTTTGGCTGACCAACAGTTGGTATTGAGTGAGAACACAGCAACAACCACATTTCTCAGGAGGGGTGATCCTTTTGGTTCACTCATACCCATGCTAGGCACAACCGGACAGAATTTCAATGCAGAGAAGGGCCAGATGAGTCCTGGGATGGATGGTCAGTCAGACACTGTTGGTGAGCCCAGACAGTGAGTATGTGTGGCCCCAGGCTACCACAAGACAGAGCAGCATGACTTGACCCAGCCTGGGAGGCTGCTGCTATAGCAAGATCCTATGTGGTAAACAAATACCAGAGACTGCAGAGGTTAGAGGCACTTCACCATAAACAACATACATCCAGAAGCACGTAGTTATAAGGTTTCTCTCCCAGAAGAGCCAGCCTATCCAAATGCCACGTGCACCTCTCCTTCTGGCTACTTCCATAAAGCAAGTTCTGGCTGTGGAACAGTCCCTTCCTTCAGCCCTGCATGCTGATGCCATAAAAATCAGAGATGTGCTGTAGAGCTTAGTGGTGCTGCTGCACATTGTGAGGTGCATAGTAGCAAATACGCTGTTGAAAGACGGTTGCTTATCTTTTACTTTTTTTTTAATACCCCTTTGCAGATGACGAGGTGACCGTAGGGAAGTTCTACGCCACTTTCCTGATTCAGGAGTACTTCCGGAAGTTCAAGAAACGTAAAGAGCAGGGCCTGGTGGGCAAGCCCTCCCAGCGCAACGCGCTCTCCTTGCAGGTGACAAGCGGGCACAGCGCGGATGGGGGTGCTACAGTAGAGACATTTGAACCCAGCTCCTTCTCAGCCATTCTGGGGCTGCAGTGGGCTATCCCCACTGGAAAAGAGCTTGTAGGCCCTTTGAATTGCCACATCAGTCCTTTTGGATAAACATGTCTGTACCATGGGCCATATCCCTTAGCTCTGGAGGTGGAAGGCACGAGTGAAGTATATCCCCAGTTTATCAATCTGCTGGTAATATTTGAAACTTGAATTCCTTTTAGAGAACTGGCATGAAGTGTCCGGCAGACATTTGTTTGTTATCACATTCTTTCTACACTTTCTTAGGGGATTCCCTATACCAGGGTCATGGAAAGCATGTTGCCAGGAGACAAAATCAGTTAGAAAGCCAAAAGCATACCTGGATGCCACAACCATCCACTGTCAGGCTCTAAGAGCTGGGATCCATTTGCCACTGTGCTGCATGATCAGTGGGTGGACTACCAGGCTGTGAGAAAGACTGAGAAAGCCCCACTGACAGTATAAGCAGCAGCATTCATGTCCTTCAAGTGTACAGTAAGGAAGAAGGGTGATGCTGGAGTTCCAGCAAGCTTAGAAGTGCTGTGAGACAGGCACAGATACAGGCAGGTCTCAGCATACCCACAGCTTACCTGCCTGGACACACTCCCTGGAATGGATCCCAGTCAGTGAGAGGTTTGAGGACTGTCCAGGTCCAGATGCCAGAAGTTTAGCTATTAAATCCATATTTAAGCTGCTGGTTAAAAATAGATTTTCAGAGGCACCAAGTACATGGTGCAGCTGGAACTGTGGCTGCTGTAGGGCTTCTGGTTGTGGATCTGAGAACTCAAAGTTGAAAGCATGCAGGTTTGCTTAGTCTAGCCTGTGAATTTATGTCTATGTCCTGTTGTGATGAAGCCAGGGGACGAGCAACAAACATTCCTGGGATGGATTGCTAAGAGTTTCTCCCTCTCTCTAGGCTGGAAATGAAAGGGCAGATTTGCTGGTGTTTTTCTAGGATCTGGGGATGCTATATTAAGTAAAAGGCCTTCACAATGCTTAGGAAGGAATAGCACTGCTTTTGTTTCTCACATACCCACTCGGAGATATGAAGCTCTATAGTTTGCTGTTTTGCAGGCTGGTTTGCGCACACTTCATGACATTGGGCCAGAGATCCGACGAGCCATTTCTGGAGACCTGACAGCTGAAGAAGAGCTAGATAAGGCCATGAAAGAAGCTGTTTCTGCTGCCTCTGAAGATGACATCTTCCGGGTAGGTGCTGAGCAAGTTTACAAGAGGCTAGACCAGTAGCTGAGCTTAGAGCGCTATTCTCCTTTATGCACTCTTGTATTTTAGCTCAGCCCTCCTTGTTTTCTGGACCCTACTAGAAAACAGAGTGGTGCACTCAGGGTGCCAGGTCCTGAGATATTTGCACAGCTTTATCCCATTTTCTACTCAGTGGAAGTTTCCCTCATGAATGCTAAATAAAATCAGAATGGGGTGGCCAAAGAGTGTGAAGAATGTATCAGTTCAGCCATTTTACAGTGTGCAGAGCAGCGTCCAGGGACACCTCAGTGATTTGTTCACTCCTCCTTTCAGTAGCACAAGTAGCAGACTTCCAAAAAGTACATGAGAACCCAACAGAGCTCCTATGGAAGGAGGAAATTTTCCGAGCAAGTCTTCCTTCTTTAATTCCTGTTTCTTGTAATTGTCTCCTCTGGTAATATTTCCTCTCCTTTGGCATTTTCCTTACAGAAAGATGGTGTCAGTCCCTTTCACTACTCATCATCTAAATGGTACATAATCAGCTCATTAAATCTTTCCTCATTTGTGCCTCCAGGTTTCTGGTGCTCTCCTCAATTTCCCTCTCATGTCCAGAAGCTGCTTTGCAACAGCACTGTGAAAAACAGAGCACTTACCTGTTTCTTGCATCTCTACCCAGTCCTGCACTCCCAAAACTGGTGGGACATGTAGAAGTACCTTTGCCTCACCTATACACCTGGCCAGTCCTCTGAAACATCTTTGAAAGCTAAATCTTTCTTAGCCTGTGTGTACCTAGTCCCTTTTACAGAGAAGTCCATGCACTATCCTCTGAAAGAGAGAGCACCAGTGCCAACACGCACACTTCAGTCCTCACATGTTTTTTTCCTTAACAACAGGCTAAGCAGGGAACAGCAGGGCCCTTGTACATCTTTTCACTCACAAAGGGAAAATCATTCCTGTTTCTCTGACAGAGAGCTGGAGGCTTGTTCGGGAACCATGTCAGCTATTACCAAAGTGATGGCAGGAGTGCGTTCCCCCAGACGTTCACCACCCAGCGACCTTTGCACATCAATAAGTCTGGCAACAACCAGGGAGATACGGAATCTCCATCTCATGAGAAGCTGGTGGACTCCACCTTCACTCCCAGCAGCTACTCATCTTCAGGCTCCAACGCCAACATCAACAACGCCAACAACACTGCCCTGTGCCGCTTCCCCAGCCCACCCAGCTACCCCAGCACTGTCAGCACAGTGGAAGGCCACGGGACTCCCTTGTCACCCACCATACATGTGCAGGAGGCTCCTTGGAAACTGCCTTCCAAAAGGTAAGTTTCACAGCAAAGCATGAATCAAGGCACCAGGCGCAGGCACATGCATGCAGACATCAGAGCACTGCTGCCTAGCTGAAGTCACCCACCAGACAGTGCCCAGCCTGCAGCCTGGACTGAGCCTTCTAGCCCTCCACTTGTGCCAAAGCCCACAGCACAATAGATAAGTATCAGTTGACTACTGTATAGAAGCAGCACTCTTACTGACCAACACACTTGATTTCTTTGGGTTTTATCATGAAGAAACCTCGATAAGATAAAAGGAATGTTATTTGTCCCTCTGTCACAGGCAGCTGTTTTACCAACTGGTAACTGAAAGAGACTGCAGTTCATCTCTTAAGCACCCAGTAGGGAGCTTTGGGGAGGTTAGTGTTTTTTCATTCAGTGGGTCACATCCCTACAGAGGTCACCAAAAGCATCCTGGGATGAGGGAGGCTAGGCTTTCAGAAATGCAGTACTGTGCAAAGCCAAGAAAATACCCTTCTCTGGGCAGCTTTCATCCTGTCTACACACAGATGACTGATATAGAAGGAGTATCATCTTTATCAGTGGGGAATTTTTTTAGAACTTTTTCTAACTTGCAGTAACAGCAGGAAGGAGCTGGAAATTTCTTTTCAGTGCAGAGAGTGGGCAGTGTGAAAAGGTGCAGAAATGTTGCCCCAGCAAAGGACAGAAAAGGACAGTAAGACTGAGGAATTTCAGTGGGTGCAGAATTGCCCAGGTAAAGAGTCCAGTGGTTTTTCTATTTTATGCCTTTCTGATGGGAGACTACAGGAGCTGCACAATATGTGTTACCATCTGCTCTACCACTTGCTGACTTGTGCTGATGTGACACTGCTAACATGGTGTTCTTTTCCCTCCTTGCTTCCTTGGGCACCTTCCTTGAATTAGGACGCATTACTACGAAACACTGGGACGGTACGTGTTCTCCCTCATGCTCTCTGGGTGTAAGACCCATTGTTAGTCCCACTGAAAATGCAAATGCCCATTAATGCTGAATATAAGCTCTTCTTTTTGGTGTCAGTAGGGCAGAGAAAGAGGTCATGATCACCGTGACATTTCCAGTAAATAACCCAAACTGAGGGCTTTTCTGCCCACAGGCAGGTAGTGATGCATGGATGTTTCTAGCTGGTTTCTAGATTTGGATTTTTTTTAGAGTTTCTAGCTGGGGTCACACATGTAGGCACTCTCTGATCACAGCACAGTCAAGTACACCCTGGCATGTTCATGCAAAAATTCTGTATGATTTTGCTAAACACAGACTTGGATAGGGGCAGCTGCCACATACTGATCTTCTCCCCTTTGCACCTTAGCAGTTTTACTTGCCTCTCATCTCAGGAGCAAGGTCACTCCAGCAGTGTCCTACAGGCTGTTCTATGCCATCCATACGCACATTTCTCCCAATGCTTTTTGCTTAAATCAAATCATGTCTCCTATCCAGTCCCTGAAAGATGAACAAACCTGCCACACTGCTCTCTTTTGCAAATGCTAGTAACAGGCTGACATTGGCTCCAGTATCTCCATGTCAGTATCTCAAAGATTCACACTACCTTCAGATTTTACATTACTCCTCAGAAAACACAAACTCAGAATGCAGTGAAAAATGAGGGCCAAGACATGAAACAGAGGGACAAAGAGAAGTCAAGAAGGGAATTGTGGGCTGCCACACTGAAGGGTTTGGACAGATTCTACAGAATTCAGCAGAAGCATTCTGCAGTTAGTAATGAGAAGAGAAGGGATCAAAGATGGAAAAGACAGCAAGGAATGAGTGCATGAACAGGAGGCAAAGGGGAGAGATGGTGCAGAGCAAGGGATTTGAGAGGCAGAGCCCATACACCACAGAGCTGAGAGGGTAACTGTTAGTGTCTAGGAGGCTTCTCTGAAATTCCTAACTAAGGCTTCTGCAACAAAGGAAAAAAGCTGGATTTCCAAGAGCCCATCTCAGATTTTACTTTGAGTTCGGTGAATTATGTCATTGGAAATGTGGCCAGTGTGATGTGCACTTTTATAGAGTACATGTAGTCACAAATGACAATAGTATGTTTACAGTATTGTTCAGCATTGATTTAAGAATCTCTTCCTCTAAAAGAGGACACAGACAAAGGTTGTTGCTTTGTATCTGTGAACTCTACAGCTCTGTTCACTGATTTTTCTATGATACATCTTCTACATTATAATAAACTGAGACAGATGGAGCCTGTCATTCTTGTCTTTATAACAGGTTGTCTTCACCATCTCCATATCTTGACTTGTCTTTTTTGCTCATTAGCTCCAGTTCCAGAGACAGCCAGCTGGCAATTGTTTGCCAAGAGGAAGTGTCTCAGGATGAGACTTATGATGAAAATTTGAATGAAGACATTGAGTACTGTAGTGACCCAAGTCTGCTCTCTACCGAAATGTGAGCTTTGCAGCTTTAGTCAAGGTGTTTGGGTGGTTCTTTAATTAAAGGGGGAGAGGTGGGAAGAGGTGGTGTTTTCCTACAAAAATTTCTATTTATGGGATAAGGCCAGAAGACTTTAGTCAGACAACTGAAATATCAGAAAGTATTTTTTTTTTAAATGCAGTTCAGCCCTGAGAAAAGGTTATCTTTTACCTAGGATATTCCTTCTCCTTTGAACGAGACATCTGGATCTGCAGGGCCTCCCCCCACATTCACTTCTACAATCTAACGTTCGCAGATCTCATCTTTAGAGTGTTGTCTGTCTCATGGTCTCTTCTTACTGCTCCTGAACCAGTTACAGCTTGAAGCTAGCTCACTATTGCATCTATTTGATAGCATGGTTTTCCTGGCTTCCCAGCTGGAAGAGGGGTTATTTGGTCCACTGTCAGCAGCTTTTCTAGAATCCCTCTGTTCTCCTTTCCAGGCTTGCATACCAAGATGATGAAAACAGACAACTTACTCCACCAGAAAATGACAAAGGAGAGGACACCAGGCACTCTCCGAAGAAAGGGTTTCTGTGCTCCTCAGCACTAGGTAACCTCCCAGGGTGACATGTGGGCTGTGCTCTCCTTTGCCTCAGCTGAGTTCTCGCATCTCACTGGAGGAGTCCCAGTGTGCGTGGGCATGGGTGTTCCTGTTTGCTGCTGCATTTAGCCTGTGACACCAGGAATCCCACAGCACACACAATCCTGATCGTGCATGTGACTCTGCTGAGTTTATGCTCAGTCAGTAGATGAATCTGGGGCTGTTTGGATAGTCCATGTGATCAGTCCACCTTTGAATTAGGGGAGTTTATCTGAGCAGTGTGACTCTGCCAACAATCACCAGGGAGCCACCAAATGGGCTACCTCGTATATGGTGTTCTGTTCTCTGTGTATTCAGGAGAGACAAAGGAGAGGCTGTCTGCCTGACAAGGAAAACAGCGAATTTCACATTAAGCTAACACAATGCAAATTTGCTTTCTGCTCTGATTGTACCTGGAGATTTTCAAGTGCTTGAGCGTGCAGACTATGCACAGGTGCAATCCATGAATCACAAGAGTTTATGAAAATATGAGGACAAATGTGAGAGTCTAGAAGAAAACAGATTATTTTTCAGCCTTTTTCCTGAGTACTGGTGTGGAGAAAAGGACATTTAGGGGAAAAAATAAAAAGAATCCTGTATATAAAATACATTTTTACTAAATGAAAATGACACACTAGGTAGTGTGATGGTTAAGGTGAGGCTACTGAGTCTTCACTCAGATCCTTCAGGATGCTTGTCCAATTCAGTACTTTGAAACTGTTTATTTTATTTCAAAACTTAAAAAATTAGGCCATAACAATTTCTATATTTATCTGTAAGGCCGAATTTGAAGTCAGTCCTCAATAAAATGTTTCATTAACTAAATTCTTGGGAATATTTATACAGTGATGTAATACTCATTTTATTAGTGTTTTTTTTTTTTTTTCTGTAGAAAGAGGAAATACTTTTTATCTGCATTGTAGCATTTGTTCTCTGGCTTATAACACGTTTCCTCCAACCCCTGAGAGGGCCTTTTCTCAACAAACCAATATTACAGACACTACTATTTTCAGAATTCTAATTTTCTCTCCTTCTTAGGAAAATGTCAACAGGATCAAGAAGTCCACAAAATATTTTAGTGTGCCATACATCTCTATCTTTACTACTCAGTTAATTTGCCATTCTTCAGAAGTAAAGCCTGTGCAGTTGCTCATAAGCATATTTTGCAGTACTTTTAAATTCCCACATAGGAAGTACCTTTCTCATGTTTACAGAAGTAAAGTTTAATTTTACAGCAAGTAAAAAATATGACTGTTTCAATAGCTTTTCCCAAATTTTTTTTTAATTTTTAAAAATCTTTTTTTTTCTTCTCTATAAATTTTGAAAATGATTCATGTCTCTATAAGCACCCTTCCTTCCATCAGTGAATTCAACCACTGATTAATTCACTTCCTTATGATCTTGCTATAGACACGACCTCGTAAACCGTGGTATGTCTGGCAGGCTGATGTCACCTGAGCAGCCTGAAAACCCCTCCTGCATGTTGTGTACAGTCAGGCACATCACCAGAGCCTCAGCTGCCATCACCAGTCCTGCTGAGGACTTTACCTGAAGCAGAGAGGTCTAAGAACACTTCTGTTGCTTAGGAAGCAAATCAGCTGCATGGCATCTACTAGGACAGTGTTTTAAAAGATCAAAAATAAAAAATTGTCACCCAGAATTTTGTCTTACTTGGAAGGTAGTGTTGGTTGGTCCATGATACTTGACTGATTTTTTTAAATACAAATCCTTTGGAACTGGCAAAGTGTTGAGGGAAAGTGGACACAGCCTGAAATGTGAGTGCCTTTGTTATGCATTCAATGGGACTGCACTAAAAGAAATTGAAAACAGATTGCCTGTAGTGTATTATGAGTGACAGACACAGTTTTGTGTGATTGCTGTTGCAGGTCGAAGAGCATCTTTTCACTTAGAGTGTCTGAAAAGACAGAAAAACCAGGGTGTAGACGTTTCGCAGAAGACAGTTCTGCCATTGCATCTGGTACACCATCAGGTAAGCACTGATTGCCACAGCAGGCCCAGCAACATATCTGAGACCCTACGACCTGCAGTGCTCCCCACTGCATCTCAACTGACTTTTAAAAACAATTTGAGGTAGTTTCCTAACCGTATCAAAGGTCAGATTTTTAGAAACTGCCATCGTGCTCATTCCTGTTTTCAGGACTTTTATCATTCCCAGAGGAATGCTACAGGAACATGCCCTTTAGAGTCAGCAGAATTATAATTTTCTGATGGCCATGAAAGTTTAAAGTAAAAAACTAGCTAAAAGATAAAAATAACTACCCAAATTGCATGCTGCAGTACAATTACACTGGCTTTGACTGTAGTATGCATATGAATAAAATGTGCAGGGTCTACTTTCATTTTAATTAAAGGTAACCAGCAACTGTAATGAATCACTTTAAAATATAAACTGATTACATGTAATTAATCAGCTTCTTAAGCCCTTTGTAACTGCATTCAGTAGCCTAACAAATGTATGCTTAAGCACGTACCTAGATGATTAGCCAGCTGTCATAGTCCAAAGTGGATTTCTGTCTTTTAGTTTGATGATGCCATGTTTTGTCACCATAACAGGAACAGGTGCAGATGGCAGTGCCAGCCGTGCAAGTGGCACCCTGCTCTATGCAGTCCCTGAGGGCAGGGAAAAATGGCCTTCCTACCTTCTTAGGCTGCCACAGGGGCAGATGATGCCATGCAGCAGGGGGAGGAGGAGTGAGAATTCAGAGCAGAGGGGTGAGAGTTGAGCATACTTAAGGCTCCCTGGCTTTTCTCACCTTCACTCTCAGCCAGTTATCTTTTAAGGATCGAGTTCTAGAAAGCAGGAGTCTGCAGAGAATTACAGCTGCGGCAGGAACGACCATCAAATGTGTCAGAGCAGGGAGGAGGAGGCAGGTAACAGCTTCCCATATTCCCCACAGCAGCAACAGCCCTCCTGAAACTTCCTCCCTTCCCATAGCAGGCCAGGCAGAGGGGACAAATACCTCCCACCCTCTCAGCCCACCCATCTCACAGAATCACCTCCCTTCAGCCTTTACAAAGAGGACAGAGCTACTTTACCCTTCCTCATCCCACCATGCAGCTCCAAATCTAGAGGGATGGGGCTCTACCCACCCCAGTGTCACTCAGCCAGACTGAAGGGTTACCCTGAAACAGGCATCTGGCCTCCAGCTGACAACACTCAGCAGCATTCAGATGTTTATAAAAATGTTAGCCTACGACACTGCTTAAAACCAGAACATTAAGTGGAAAGCTTGCCTCTGCTAAGTGCAGTGGATTTGGTTGCTCGTGAATGCTTGAAGGGGTATTCTCACAAAATATTCATGCATCTTTTTTTGTATATATATGCAGCTGAATCTCAAAGCAATCCCTAAGAGCTTTTTTCATCTTGCTCAGAACCTCACATTTTGGATCAAACACCTTGAATATGTTTCTGTTAGCAAGGTGAAAAACTGGTTCAGTTGTCCATCCTGACAGATCTGGGGCTCTCCTTGAAGTCTTGGCTCTTTAAGGGATGTGCTGAGGCCATCACAGCCTGTGGAGCATGACTTATACATAACAATTTTTAAGGGCTTTCTTCCTCACTGAAATTTGATACAAGCCTGACATCTAATTCCTAAGAAGATCTTGGTAAGGTGACTAATAATTAATTCTTCTGTTCGTCTCTCACTGATCTCACCATCACAGCATGGTTATCAGTTCCCAAGGATGTCACTGACAGACTCAGCTTTGCTTAACTTTAGATATCTCCAAGTTAGCTCTCTAGTTCAAGCCAGGCAGTTCAGTCCCACTGTGGTGAACAGAGGGAAAGAGCATCTCCAAAGGGCAAGTACAGTAGCGTTTTCAGGCAGGTGCAGAAAGCTTGTTCATGCCTCTCTACACAGTTAGCTTTAGACTAAACGTAAGCCTCCAGAGAGCTGAAGCTGGGTAAAACTAAGCCCAGCCCAAACAAGAGGATTCTCTGCAACATAATCCATGTGCTTTATATTTTCTATGCATTTATTTCGTTGCTCATACTAAGCAGCAGTGAGCTCTGTGAGATGAACCTGCGACACTGATGGCATTGCTTATGGAACAAGGCAGCAGGCATCATGAATAAGGCATCAGATCAGTCCTGTGCAATAAGGGGCTTCTTGAGAAAGTTGTTATAAAAGGAGGCGGGATGACTCAGAGGCTGTGGGTATGATTACAGGAAAGACTGGACGGCTCCAAGTATAATCCCCAGATATTGGTCCTCCCACCAACAGCAGATGCCTTAAAATCCAGTGGTGGATTTATAGTTATTGCCAATTGCAGATAAGTCTAAAATGCACATCTGGTATCTGTTCAGGTTCCACAGCAGACACTTAGAGAAAACACAGCAACTGGCAGCAAAAGCTACCAGTACGGGTGGCGGCAGTGGTGGGGAAATGAGTTGGTGCCTCACCCACTGGAGGAGAGGTGGTGTTCCTGGCAAGGCTGTGGGGAGTGGGACTGCATCCCTCCTGTCAGCCCAGTGGCTCCAAGGCTGGAGAATTGCAGTTGTGAAAGTTTCCAGTCTGGTGCTTGGCACTAGCACAGGATGCACCGTTTCAAGGAAGGCTTGCAAAATGACTTTACAGGAAACATCCAAACCGTTCCAGCAGATGGCAGCTGCTTTCACAGGCCTTGAGATCCTCCAGTCCGTTCTTGGGTGGTTTCTCAGAACCTCATTGTTCCAGCAGAGCCGCTAAGAGTAAGCTCTCACTGGTCTTGTTCCTCCTCTGTCCGCAGGCGTTAGCGGTGGCCGGCCTGAGTCCCCTCCTCCAGCGAAGCCATTCCCCCACCATGTTCTCTCGGTTGTGCGCTACACCCCCCGCCACACCCTGCAGCCGTGGCTGGCCGCAACAGACCATCCCGACCCTGCGTCTCGACAGGGCAGAGTCCAGTGAGAAGCTCAACAGCAGCTTCCCCTCGGTGCACTGCGGCTCTCGGTACCCCGACGACGGCTGCAGCAGCCCCCGGAGAGCCAGGCCGGTCTCCCTCACCGTTCCCAGCCAGAGCAGCAGCAGCAGCAGACAGTTCCACGGCAGCGCGAGCAGCCTCGTCGAAGCGGTAAGGCTGCAGAGACGTGGAGGGCACGAGCAGTGTCAAGGCCAGCTAGAAACGTGGCTCTAGGAAGGGCGGGGCCACAGATATACTGCTGCCTGCAATGCCAGGAGTAGAAGAGCCCATCTCCAAGCAGGGATTAGCAGCATGAATGGGAGGAGAAGGACTGCTGGGGAAAATACAGCGGTAAAGGGGGTTGTGTTAGGGGTGAGACAGGGTTGATGATGCAGATTGCTAACATACGTCTTTGTCTCTGGTTCTCTATGTGCTTTTGAAGGTCTTGATTTCGGAAGGACTGATGCAGTTTGCTCAAGATCCAAAGTTCATTGAGGTCACAACCCAGGAGCTCGCAGATGCCTGTGACATGACGATAGAAGAAATGGAAAATGCAGCAGACAACATTCTCAATGGTAACAGCAAGCAGAGCCCCAATGGCAACCTCTTGCCTTTTGTTAACTGCAGGGACCCAGGGCAGGACAGTGCAGGAGAGGAAGAGGAAGAGGTGCAGAACCCGGATTGTAGAAAAAGTCAGGAGGAGCTCAAGGACAGCAGGATTTATATCAGCAGCCTGTAGTTGCCAGGGCTGGAAGCGATGCTGGTTTTTTATTTGTTTCAATGTTCCTAATGGGTTTGTTTCAGAAGTGCCTCACTGTTCTCGTGACCTGGAGTAACCGGAACAGCGTTCTTCATTCATTTCTGTTGGGACGAGTCGCAGAGTTGGGTGGTGTAAGAAAGATTTTCAGGAGCGGATATAACCCCAGCACGTGTCCATGAAGGAAGAGTGAGGAGGAGGAGGAAGAGGAGGAGAGCCAGCTCCCTCTTTTTTTCAGTCCCTGCACAAGGAACGACAACTGCCTCTCAAGCGTGAAGGGGATCCTCAGCTTCCTGTGGATGGCCCTAGCCAAAAGGACCCTGCGCCAAACGGGTGTCTTTCAACATTGCTTGTAAAAATCATTTTGCACATATTCTGTATGAGCCTCACCGTCTCCATAAAGCCAAGGCCCTTTGATTCAGAAGGAGAGGAGGACTTCTGCTGTGGATTCCCATACCGCGAAGGGGAGGAGGAAGCAGAAGAAGCCCAAGGATGCCCAAGGGGCAGGTGGCAGTGCTGCCCAACCCTGCCGAGACTCCCAGGCAACGGTCTCTGCCAACTAATCCAAGCTCAGGCAGCCACTGCTGCCAACCAATCAGAGCTCGAGCAGTCACTTGCCAGTCAATCCGAGCTCAGGCAGTCTCCTGCCAACCAATCCGAGCTCAGACAGACAGCCGTGCCAGCCAGTGGGAGAGTGGGGAGCAGGCTCTGTGGCAGGGCCGAGCCCATCTGCGCCACACTTGCTGAGGTGGTGGTGGGCTTGTGTAGATCTGTCCTTTTTTGCAGTTTGATATTTTCTTGAAAGCATGTTGCAGTTTTTATTTTGACCTTTTTTTTTTTTTTTTGAGGGAGAAGGGAGTGTTTACAATGTTTTGTAATCACCTACCTTTTTGGTTTGGTTTATTTTCACCTTTGCAAATGTTAAATTGGTTTGATCATGCTGTATTATTTAAACTGGGTTTTTTTCTCCATTGAAATCGGTAGGAGTATAATGATAGACGAGTTTTGCCAACCATTATGTACACCAAGAATTTGTAATTTTATTTGCTAGTAATTGAAACTTCCTTTTTTTGTTGTTGTTTTATAATTTAAAGATAGTAGGCAATGCACTTGATATAGTCTTGCACATTTGAGTGGCTGATTTGGGTTCTTTTTAGTGCTAAGTGTAGCTGTGAGTGTGGGAGCAATACCAAGCGAGTGTGCGTGCGCGCCTGTGTGTAAGTGCAGGCAGTTCTCCACGTCCTGGTGTGAGCTGCAGGAGATCTGTATCCAGGGCCATCCGAATGCAAAAACAAACCACTGTCTCTGCTTTTGAAAGGGGAATCAGTAACTCTTTGCATTTTCTGTTCCACAAGATATGCAAAAACAATGCAATAATATTAATTTTCAAAGACAATTGTAAGTTGTGTTGGCATTAAAACTATATAGAAAAAAAAATTGCGGGGGTGGGGGGTAACAAACAAAAAAAAAAAAACAACCAGAAGGCGTTACGCTTCGATATATTCTGTGTGATGTTTTATTGCATTGATAGTGTTTCTGTTGAAGAAACCATTATACTTGAATTCAGGTCAGTTTCAGTACTTTTCAAATATTTTTTTAAATGAATTGCAATTGTGCCAAGCAAAGACAATGAATTGAATTAAGTTTGTTTAAAAAAAAAAAAAAAAAGAAAAAAAGAATCACTTCTTGTATATTTTGCTGCATGTCAAGTGAATCATTTCGTATTTGGAATGTGCCAAGCTTTACCTTTGGACTTTTAAGTGCTTTTCTACATGTGGTTGGGGAAAGGGGTACTATTTTTTTTCCTTTTTTAATTTGTACAATGAACAAAGTGTACCTGGTGTAAGTAACTATTCTGCAATCCACTGACAGGTTGAACGTTACTGATTTTGCATATCTTGTGTTCATTTTCCTTCTTCTCACTCCCTTCAAACATGCACGATGACTTTATTGGTAGAGAATCTTTCTTCCTGAGCCCGGGGCATTTTCTTCAGGCTTTGTTCTCTTTCCTTTTGCTCAGTTTCTCTAAAGGTCTTGTCCCACTTGAGGATGGCAAGACCCTCAAGCCCATTTGGCAGATCCATCCTACATATTCAGCTGACACCAGCAATTCAAGGAGCAGCAAAAAAAAAAAAATCTGCTTTCAAAATTATTTTATTAAATAGCTAACCCTGATTAATTATAACAGGATCATGGGATAAGCAGACGTGAGAGGCAGAGTTATCAGCAAAGTAAAATTGTCTAACTCTGGTCTGGACTGAAAGCTGAGGGCAAGTGAAGGAGAGAGCTCTGGACCGTTGCTTAGGAGAATTGCCGCAGTCTTGTCAAGATGCAGATGTTACGTGACTTTTTTGTGTTCCTATGCACGGTCTCATCCCTCTTCCCAGGCTTTAGTGGATGGGTCAGATTCTAAGTCACAAAATATCTGATGGCACAGCATGTCCCAGCCATATTTCCCTAGTAGCAAGTGTGAACCTCTGTTGACTTTTGTCACACCAATACTTGGCCCTAACCCAAGAGAGAGGCTGAAAAACCAGGCAGGTATTGTTAGATTTTATGCAACTGTTTTTTGTCTAGACAACTGCTGTTTTTTCTCCTTTCTCAAGACGGTCCACAAATTTGCAGATCAGTGCTGAGCTAGGAGGTGTGATCTGACTCAGAGCTAAACTGACATTCAAATCTTGAGCTTCTGCAGATGTCTGAGACTATCATCTATTGCATATGTTGATTACATTATTTTTGTAATGACCTTGGTTTTCTTCTTGATTCTCTGGGCTGTAAAGCAGAAACAGCAAAGGGTATTTTTGACGGTGCACTTTTTTCGGTGTAATTTTGAACTGGCCAGCAGCAGCTCAAGATACCGTGAAAAAAAAACAAATCCTTTTAAACTAGAGAAATATGAATCCATTTATACAACCCTCTGGCATCAAAGTCCTAATTCAAGATTTCCCTGGAGAAAGTGACCAGCTGAGGTCAGTCAGTCTCTTCATTTCCATCCCTCACGCCTGTATCGAGACAGGCACACAAGCTGTCTCCTTTTGAGAGTTTGTTGCTACTAGTGCTGCTGTGGTCCAAAGCTACTCAAAAGGAAATAATGTTGTGCCTGGCTGTTTCTGAGAAAGAAATTAGTATAAGGGCTCCCTATCTCATTTTCTTCCACTGGAAAGTTCATGTGACCCTCCTAGTGAGTGACAGAGGTGTGCTCCTGAGAAACAAAAGTACTGATCTAAATTACTGGTGGCAGTGGGCATTTTGGATGCTTGACAGCCCATGTCATCTTTTAGAATTTTTCTTCTTGTGAAGGAAAATGCTGGAAAGGATTACGCCCCACTCATTCCTGGGGTAAGCGTGACTGCCTCAAGGGTCAGAGCCAGGGAAACCCCGCTCTCTGCTGGAAGACCTCAGCTCCTGCAGAGTGGAAAACACGGCTAGCAGAGAATGAGGATGACTTTTGCAGTTTGAGGGGCAGGTGTTAAATTTAGTAATTGCTGGTGCCAGCTATGCAAGTTTCTCTTTCTGGGGAGATTGGCTTTTTTTGCTTCTTTTTTTCACTGGAGGTACTTCCAACGTGCACATTGTGACAGGCCTGAGCAAAGAGCTACTGCCTCCTTCAGGTGAGGTAGTGTCTGAGGGACGGTGGGGAGGCAGGGGCGGGTTTAGTGCCTGGAGTGTCCTTTTTTCCCGGTGTATGGGAGTGGATGGTGGGTCAAATCACTGTGCTGTGGATGGAAGCTTTGAAGGGAACCGATGGCTGAGGAGTGGCATGGAAGGAAAGGAAAGAATGGGGAAAAAGATCTGCTGTTTGCCACTGAGCATCTCTGACTTGCAAGAAGAGTACACTGCAGACTACAGACATTTCTTATAAAACAACAAACCTCCTCCTTGTATCACTCCTGCTCATTATTCCAGGCAGTACTGGCCAGCCACACCAGGTGCATTTCTTTTTTCCTTCCTTATTTCTTTGTGGCTAATGTAACGAGGAAGAATGTGGAACTCATGATCCAGAGCTGGAGTTTCATTATCCACAGACCTTTTCTGCATCATCTGCCTCTTCAGCTGGACACATGAACGATGATGGTGTAGAAGCTGCTGCTACTGCAGGGGTCCCACCTGTTTTATTACCCTGCCCACCACACCCCAGCGCGGAGGGACGGCCAGAGAGGCACCATGTACAGATCCGCATCTATTTCTGCTTTGTTTTCTGACTCAGAACCCTGCCCCTGATGACTACGACAATGATGACGACAACAACAAAAAAAGGGCAAATGCATTTTTTACATTTCTTGATAATTTCCAAAGCAATGTATCATTGCTTTCTTTAGACTGACACCAATATAACAGTTGTATGGGTCTCAGCCAGGCTCCTGTGTCTTTTCTGCCTGATAGTTTCAGATTGCTGTATGAAATGTATGCGCGTTTGCACACAGACACGATGGCATGAGGTGATGGCACCATGAGCCCGTGGGATTCTTCACCTGTGTCATAGATGAAGTTGAAGGCCTTGCTACATACATGGAGATGTGAAATCCCAAGCTGTTGGTCCAGTGAGCTGAAGAGAAGCAGCCCTACTGAGACAGAACTAAGTATCCTAAGATATCTATACGGTCTTGTGACTGTCTCTGTGGCAGGGGCAGGGTGGGGGAGAGGAACACCGAACAAGGAATTTGGAGCACAACAAAGTTGGTAAAATAAGTAGAATCCAGTCAGGGGCTTCTGGTACCAGTGAGATTTTAGCAGTTCCCATAATGAACACTGTAGTGCATGCAAAGAAAATATTCCAGGCCATCAGAAGCCCCTAGTTCCCATCTTGCTAACACAATGCTGGAGAGCACTAGAGGCCAAAGAGGTTGTGTTGGTGCAAAGAGTGTGGAAAACAGAACTGAGCCCAGAAAAACTTTATTATAGCTTTCCTCCATTTATTTTCTTCTCCAAAGGAGTCTAAGAAATGTAAATTTCAATAGCTGCACAGGGTTTATTTTTTT